GGAGAAGGGCCTCCAGTCCCGCCAGACTGCATTTTCAGGGGATTACTGAGACCCTTATAGCAATCATCTCTTCTTTCTTCCTGCCTCCCCTCCACTGTCTCCCTCCACGAGGGCATGCAGCGGGGAGAAGTGACAAATGGCCTCCTTGCATTTTGCTCTTGATTTCACAGAGACCCCAGGATCCACCATCATCACCATCAGTCAACCAACCTTTAAAACGTAAGTGGCCAATGAGTGGCTGATGACCTATAGATCATGCATTTGGAGAGGGAGAAAAAATGTGTTCCTCACACAGATTGTTGACCTGGCTCCTCTGTTCTGGAAGAGCTTTTGTCTTGAAGCAAAAAACATTCGCCACCGTTAACCAGATACATCTTGCAACTAGACCAAGCAACCGATTTTGCAAGTGCCAAATCGGTCTCCTGTTTCATGGTATAGGTAGCGGCCTGCAAGGAGGGGGTGGTGACTGCTGCTTCTTGCCCTACTTTTCTTTCTAAACTGAATAAACGGATCTTATTTGTGTTATCTCATCTTTCCTAACTCACCAATGTGAATCTTCCTCTGACTGACAGACACATGGGCCATATGAGCTAGGAGTAGCCCAGGGGTAAATTACTGGTGGCAAACCCCTGTAGTGGGGCTGGGTGAAGGCTCGTCAGAAGTGGTTCCTGAAGGAGGAAAACAGTTGCCTGGTGTGTGGGAAAGTCAGGATTCTGGGCAGGAGGAGCAAAGGCCGAGTGTCTGGAACATTCTGAGCGCTGCATTACCGTCACAGTTTTTTACTTCTTGTGTGTGTGTGTGTGTGTGTGTGTGTGTGTGTGTGTGTGTGTGTGTGTGTTAGGGTTTGATGTCTGTGAATCTCACAGGTGAGGGTCCATCCACAGCAGAAGCAAGCCTGATTAGTCTTGCCCCCACTGACACTCACAGTAGTAACTGACTCCAGAGCTGAGACAGAGTGACCTTAGGCAAATCAGATACTCCACTAGGGGAGTATGGGGAAATGACATTAGGAAATGTGAATTGCTGGCACAGGTTAACCATTCTTGTACTGTTTGAGAAAAACAAGCTGCCTTCTCACTCAGAAGCCCTTAGAAAGCGCCGTCGGCTTGAGTACGTCTCGTTTAAAATGATACTGCCTAAAAGAGGAACGTGTGCTTTGGTGAAGCCTTGTCCAGAAGGATCAATAAGGGGGTACCTCTGCTCGGTGCTGGCTGAGGCCTCTCACACAAAGAAAGGAGAGCCTGGAGTTCAGTGGCCTAACTTAGCCTTAAATAAGATGGTTCTATATATAGAAAATCCCTACCAAGAATGCCAGGCTGCAGTAGATATTTAAAGGCAAAAGTAGGTTTTCCCCCTTCCTATACTGTCGGTCAAGGCCAGTATGTTCTTGACAGTTTTAGTGCTTCTTTGGAAGTGGTTCTCCAACCCCTTAAAGAGTCAGTTTCACAAAAACTGTTCTGAGGATGTATCGGTGAAAAAGCCTTGTCCTAAAAGTCCTGCCCTCGGGGAGCCTGTAGTCCTGGGGGCAGCAGAGACTACAAGACAAAGGACGCATGTGTTGGATGTCAGGTGGCAAGGTGCAAGGGGCGTGAGCTGTGTGCTGGGGCAGGGGATCATTTCGCACAGTTCTAAAAGCGATGCTACGTTATTGCAAAGCTAAAGAGGAGGGTCTGGGGAGGGCTCACCGGTTAAGGGCGCTTGCTGATCATTCAGAGGCCCCAGGTTCAGTTCCCAGCACCCACCTTAGCAGGCTTGCAGCTGCCCATAAAGTCTAGCTTCCGGTGGACCTGACAGACACCCTCTTCTGGCTTCCACAAGCACTGTGCCCATGTGCAAAAAACTCACACTTATACAAATAATTAAAAAAGAAAATATTTTTTAATTAAAGAAGGAAAATAGGCGTATGTTTGGGGAGTGATGGGGATCCAGGAAATGAACCCCATGCAGAGCTGGGGCACCAAAGGAGGCTGGAAAAGGAACCCAGACAGCAGGCAGACTGAAAAGCACGGATGACAGTTCCAAGACCCTTCCTTATGAAGTCCTGTGATTTCTTAAGAGTCCATGGCAGTTTCTGATGCCTTCTGGAAGAGAAAGCAGCAAGAAAAACAGGTCCTCCTTCCAGTAAGGGGAGAACAAGCACAGAGTAGACTCAAGTCACAGACTACAGTGACAGACAGGTCATCCCTCTGTATAATTGTCCACAGTGACTATGAAGACCCAGGAGCTGACGTCCTGGTGTCAAGAGTACACTCTCTCTTCCGTTGTCATGCAGACTTCCAGGGTCAGAACAAAACCTGGAATAAAAGAGTGTGATTCTAGCAGAGATGTCCTGGATGGATGGAAGGCTATCAAAGATGGTGAAGATGTACCTGTGGTCCCCTGAAGGTAGGTGACAGCTCCCAAAACTTCTGTGAGGAGGGCCTGTGCACATCTAGCAGAGTGATAGTAGGCGACACTGCAGATTGCTTATGTGGTTAGTATTGAAAGGCGTCACACTAGCGATGGACATGAAGCTGTGCAACCAAAGCAAAATAGCTTGACACTGTGAAAGAATTTCCGTGTGGTTTGCAAAGGTAAGTTACATCGGATCGATACATTTTCTCAGGTGGAAGGTTCTTCACGTCTCATCTTGGGGGCCCTTATGAACCCTCAGTGTGCAGATCTGACAGCTACATGATTCTCCCTTCTAGCTCTAACCATCTACTTCTTACAGCCGGGCACAATAATCTTCACTGAACAGGTCGTTTAGAGCACTCTATTCATACAGAACCTTGAGGAAAAGTCTGTGCCAGGGGTAGGGCTGTTTCAGAAGAGTCAGCAAACAAGCAGGTCTGAGCTACTTCAGAAATAAACTTCCTTATGTTCTGCTGCTCAATTACACTGAACAAACAACCCAAGATAAGACAGGCTCACTGGGTTCAGTTACTCTAAGTCCCCACATGGAACTCCACTTACTGGCTGCTTCTCCTGCTGAAACCGCACAGGCAATGGCCATCCTTCGGGTGTTATTTTGACTATTGGACCTGCATAAAACCGGCCATTCAGGGACCTCAAGAGGTCTAGGGATGAATGTAGACAATTCTCTCGTTTTAATAAGGACACCGACATAAGCTTGTCTTCTTTCTTTGATTGATAGCATTGTCTCTAATGTAACCCACACTTGACTAACGTCTTGGTTTTCTAGTTTCTTGGTTGAGGCCTACAAATGACCTTTGCTCATCCACTGCACAAGAATCCCCATAAAGCTCTGTTCTGTTGGATAAGGTTTTTCTATTTGTCACATTGCCTATTTCCTTCCTGCATATCGGATCTACTGTACTGAGTTTTATCTGAAGGTTATAAACCCATTTCAAATAGAATTTCAGCTTATGATTTGACGTTGGGATCATCCTAAATGGTTCTAATCCTTGCAGAGAAAACCTACTGACAGGCTTCCATATCTCTCTTCATATACGTAATATGTATATATGTATATACGTACGTGTTCATTCTAGTTTCAGTCTGTTCATTGTTTGTAAGTGAAGAATGGTTGCTTATCATTTCTAACTGCTACTTTAATCCCTTTTGTGGTATGCACTTGAATTTCCCTATTAGCCTATCTCTGTAGCATGACTGTAATACAACTCTTAAAACAGATTGAGGCCATAATGACTTGCTGTTTTGTAGGTCGAAAGGGTCAAATATCAATGATTTGATATGGTTTTACGTAGTTTAATACCCACTTATTCAGCCAGAGTCTCAAGTGCCTGAAGTGAGTATTAAGCCAATTTCCATGGGAGATTAAAAAATGAGAATGACGTAGATTCTCCTCGGCATGTGGCGTGTATGCCATGGTGTAGACGCAGATAGACAGTGATGTGCCCTTCAGGGGCTGGAGGGGGCGGCTGTCAGGAAGGAAGGTGGGACCATGCTTTAAAATGGCAATCCCTCACGTCACTGCAGTCTCTTGAAATCCAGAAGCCCACTACAAACCTCCAACACTAAGGACCTTTGGTTTCTCACTGCCTGCTAAGGCAAGGTCCGTCCTTATACTGGCTTCACCCATCTGATGTTATTGCTCATTCCTTGTGCCTAATACACTTTCCCATCTATTTCTGGTATTCCTCCCTCCTGGAATAGTCTTTTCACTTCAAAAGCAGTCGAACGTAGTGGGTATGAGTTCCACTGAGTCCTGTTTTTCTGGGTTCAAATCAAGTAGTTCCTGGCAAGCTGATGAATTGCTCAGAGCCTCAACTTACCTGTTAATAAAAGAGAAACAATGTGTGTGCAAGATCACAGAACTGTTGCTACAGTTTGGATGGTGAGTGATCCTTGAATGTCCCTGTGTATTCCAGAGTGGTAATTCTGGGAGGTGGTGGGATCTTTAGGAGGTGGAGCCTAGTGACAGGAGGTTAGGCGATTGTAAGCATGTACTCAAAGGGGATTGGGAGATGCTGGCCCCTTCCTATTTGTGATTTTGCTCCATTACCATGATTTGAGCAATTTGCTCCCCCTTGTACTCCTTGACGTTGCCATCCAGCAGTCCTACCAGAGAGCCAAAGCCTTGAGTTCACCCAGCCTGAACCTCCATAGCCTGCGCCCAAATCTTCACTCTTCACAAGCTGATCTTGCGTGTGTGCTTATTACTTACCAGATGTCATATTTCACTACAGCTTTCGCATGGCATGGTCAGTCTCATTCATCTTCAAAGGCTCCACGCAAAGTCCCTGTGCTTCCTCCAGAGTGCCATGGGGCAAGTCCTCCTTCCTTCCTCTGGTGTTTTAGTTGCTTTCCTATTGCTGCGATGTGACACTATGACCAAGGCAACACATAGAAGCAACCCCTCTCCTACCCACGTTGCCTATTGCCATGGTCTTTATCACAGCAGTAAAATCCTAAGAGAACCCCTACATAATTTTATATATATTGTGTAGGATATACTGAGACTGGATTTTTTTCTTTTTGAGTTTTGGCAATCTTTCACTACAAAAGTTTTTTTTTTTTCAAATTTATTTTTTATTACATATCTGTGTATAGATATATACCTGTAAATACAAATGACCCCAAAGGTTAGAACAAACCCCAAGCTAGAGTTAGGGGTGGTTGTGAACCCCTGAATGTCACTCCAGTCTTCTGCAGAAGCAGTATATACTTCTAACTGCTGAGCCATTTCTCCAGCTTCGTCAAAAAGTTTTAAAAAACAACAGCTTTGTCTTTAAGACTGAAGATCTCTTGCGAAGTGGCTCGTTAAAGATTAGGGGCCATTCCACCTTTACTAGTGAGTGTTCAAAGCCTAGCACGTCACCCAGTCCGTGGGAGCATCTGTCGCATTCGATCTCCAGAGATAAATGTTGATAGCTAGAGGCTGGGTACCACTGACACTGCTAAGACCGCCTTCCTCCCGCCTCCCACTTCCTCCCACAAATGCACTTGTGAAGCATAATGCAGTGGACAACTGGGCGCACGAGTGTTCCATCCAGCTTGAGATTTAGAGTCTAAGCGGCTGCGGCTGCCTTTGGGCTGCCCCTCCTCTTCTCTCCACATCCTACCACTAACCACTTTCCTAGATGCTATCATGACCCTTTTCCCACTTTGCTTTCACTTCACGAATGCCTCCAATACATATTTAGGTTTGCTCATGGTTGACCTTTATACAGATGGCAAAGTGTCTGTGGTCTCCGGGACTTGCCTCCTGCTTTCCCCCATCACGTTTTGAGGCTCCAGTCATGACGCTGTGAGGAGCTGTCATTCATGTTTACTGTTACTCAATGGCCTGCTATGTGAAGAAATGTCAGCTGTCATTGCTGCGCATCAGCCATGTCTGGTTTTGTCGCCAGATCTGCGCATTTTGGCCAGCCTGGGGAGAATAAAATATTTATGTATTTTTTTCTTTTTTGAAGATGGTTTTTCACCATGTCATCTAAGCTGGACTGAAACTTGTGTTTCTCTGGTCTTAGCCTCCTGAGTCCTGTGATTATAGGTATGTGCTCTAATTATGGCTTCACGGAAGTTTTAACTTGCATTTCCTGTCACTAAAAAGGATTAATGTCTTTATGCTTGTTTGCCATTTATTTTGTTTGTCATGGTGGTGTTCTTTGCAGGGTTTATTTATACTTTTGTCATGTTTTGTCTCTATAGGGCTCTGTTTTTTGTTTTTTTTTTTAAGATACTACAGGATTTCTTTTTATAACAATGCTTTGTTTTTTGCTGTCAGTTTATTGACCTTCAAACTTTTTAGAACTATTGCATTTAGAACTAGAAAGATCTTTTTGAAATACAATGTGCCTTTCCTTCACATCCCCTCACATTCCCCAAGATGAAAATGAGAGTAGGAAGGTTAAAATAACTTGCCTGATGCCACAGTTCATCATTTGTTGCCGTACTGAGGCTAGCACCTGGGCCATTCAGATCCCATTTCAACTATTTTACAATTGTACCATGATGCCCTCTTATTTATTTGTCTCATTTCATTAATTTTTTTTTTATTTATTGTCGAGACAGGGTTTCTCTGTGTAGACTTGGCTGTCCTGGAACTTGCTCTGTAGACCAGACTCCACTCAAACTCATCTGCCGTTGCCTCCAGAGTGCTGGGATTAAAGGTGTGCCCCACCACCGCCTGGCTAAATTTCATTAAATTTTTTAATGTTCAAGTCATGCATGTTCCTGATAGAAAAAAGGAAAACAAAACATTTGCAAAATGAGAAACCTTTAAACCAGTTTTAATTGCTCCTTCTACTAGATGCAGCTGGTACAGCGTGACTTTCCTTTCCAGGTAATCCTAGGCAGAGAGTCACTGCGGAGCACTTGTTCTTCGAAGTTACTGTTCAGTGCTTGCTACACAGAGGCATGATGCTAAGCATCTTACATACTTCATTTCACTTGGTCTCACAACTTTCTGATGGGGAGAGTTAGCCCTCTACTCTTGACTGTGGCAGGCGATCCTAAGATATCTGCATCCTTTATTTATGTCTTTATTTCTTAGATAGGGTCTCAGAATATCGCCCTGGCTGGCCTCAAACTCAGAGACACTTCTCACTCCTTATCCCAGGAACATGTGACTATGTCAAGTGTCTTGTTACTTGACATAGAAAATATACGGTTGCAAACAGAATGAATTTGATATATTTGGTTGCACCTCAAAATATGGAGATTATCCTCAGTGTCCTATCTGTTCCCAGTATGACCACAAGGGAAGAGGAGCTGAGACCAAAGAATCGGTGTCAGAGGCCTGAGACGTGGGGAAGATTCAACCCCATTGCTGGCCAAAGGAAATGTGCACAGCCTCTTACAGGCAGGGACTCTCTCCAGGAGTTCTCAGGAAGAAATATACCCCTGCAGACATCTCTATGTCAGCTCAATAATGGGTAAGCCCCAATAATGGCCAACATGGGGTACCAAGAGACTCTTGGTTAGGGGAGGTGACTCTCCATTAATCAGGCAATCTGATCTCAGCACAGAGCTCCTTACACAAGGAGGCAGGAGGGTCAGACGTAGGGGAAGACATGACCAAAACAGAGTTTGGAGGTCTGTACTGGGCAACCTTGTAGCCATGGGGTCAAGAGGCCTCCAGGAGAGGTAAAGAAACAAGTTGTTCTTAGTGCTTCTGGAGGGAGCAAGGCCCAGCCCCCCCCTTTTTTTCCAGTTGAAAGCTACTCTGGTCACTTGCAAGATATGGATTAGTGCTACTTCAAGCCTGCTTCCCAACACACTTAGTTTAGAGCGAATGCAGAGCTCGCTAGTGATGGAGATGGGATTTCAACCCAATCCAGAGAACCGCAGAGCCCATTTCCCTGGCCACCGGGACACACACTCCTGGGCAGATAGAAATCCCAGTAGCACACGCATGTCCACCTCTGTGAAATGCCTGCACCCCACTGAATGAATGTGAGGTCATTACTGTGTTTTATGTAATGGGTGCCATGTCGCTAAGACATTTCCAGTGTTTCAACGGTGCAAAATTGCAAGTGATAAACTTCTTTTTAAGTAACAGGATTTCTTTAGGGAAGACTCCTAGAATGAAAAAAGCTGCATCAAAAAAAAAAAAGTGTATTTTAGAAAACGGCCAAATTACCCTCCAAAAAGATCGCAACGAAACATAATTTAAAACAAAGACAACCAGCATTGGTAAGATCCATCTTCCGCTTTCACAACGTTCTCGGTATTAACACATTTTCATGTCTAAGATCCACACTCGACATAATTATGCTTCTGTCCTTTCTTCTGCAGAACCGTAGTTGTTAGAGAGGGCATTCAGAAGCCACGGAATTAGCCCTTCTACTTACAGGTAACAATGGGGAGGCTGGTGAAGGCGAACAGATTTACCTGGGCTCATTCATGAGGGCTCATTCTCTCATAGTGGGAATGCCTAGAGGACCACCGTGTCTCACTCAGGTTCAGCAGGCTCATCAGCTGTAGAGGTCATGAAGGTAGTCCCCCCCACCCCCAGCAACACTTATTGATCTGTTTCCCCCTTTGAAATTATAGGAGAAATCTCTTGCTTTTTAAACAGAGGCACGTTATGGGACAGAAGGATAAGAAGCTGCCGTACAGCCAGTACTAAAAGGTAAACCCGAGGCTTGTCCTGGAGCAAAGCCTATTTTCTTTTGTTCATTGTGACATTGGTAAACTGATAACTGAGAGTAACGCCACATCGCCTACTCTTTCATGTAAGAGTTCTCACATAAACGGGTGACAGGACGTTTGCAGTTATCACCTTTAGCCGTTTTTTTGTTTTTCCTAACTTGGTTCCCGTGCCACCTAGGAGCTTGGCATCTGATGTACACAAACATTGGCCAACCCCCTCCCTGCCCTCGGAGCAAACAATGAAATAGGAAAAACGCACTGCCGTTCTCTGACTGACCTCAATAGCCGAGCGTGGACCCCGCACGTTACACCGGCAGGCTGGCTCCATTACACTGCCCTGCGCTGTGCTGGAGCTACTGAAATATTGATTTTTTTACAGAGCGGTGCACACACACTGAAAAAAAAAAAAAAATCAATACTCCAGCGCACACGACAGAACCTGCGGCAGAGCCCGGACCAACTCTGAGGCCCAGCGGGCACTGCTGGCAGGCCTTGGCAGAGTAGGGGGCGGGGGTTGGAGGAGACAATGCCTGGGGAGAGGCTCCCCAAGCCAGGAAGGGTCAGGTAAACACGCAAGTATGCAAGTGGGAAGATCCCCGAGGATAAACAGTTGAAAGGAGCAAGGATTTGTCTTTCCATAGGGGGAAAAGGGGAGAAGGGACGAGTAAATTAAGAAGACAGGAAGGGAAGAATTTTCCAGGTAAGAATCTTCCCATGAAAATGTTCCTTTCATTTTCTGTATCGTCCAGACAGACTTAAGAAGGGGGGGGGGGGCAAAAACGCTTTATCACAAAGAGAAATCAGGCCTGTTCTGAGAAACATCTATATTTTAAAAGACGCAGTTCCCTTTGGTAGTCAAAGGCTGTGGTTTTCACACTAACCTGGTCTCTACCTGCACGTTGACACTGCTGTCTTCTTGTGGCGCGGGGAAAGGTGTGTGTGTGTGGGGGGGGGAGAAAGTCACGTGGTCCCTAATTATTCCTCTTTTTTCTACAAAAGCCTTCCTTCATGAGTGCTTGGGAAACCACGTACAGACTTCGTCCTTTACCCTCCAGGGCATGGGCAATTCTGAGCACCTTGAGTTACACCGCCTTGGGATGCGGGATCCTCCAGGTTCCACTTTCCCCGTGCCTAACGTCTAGCAAGGGTCAGAGTGCAGACAGTCCCTGTAGACGTTAAAAAAACTGGTATTTTGGATACTTTCAGGTAGCTCATGGCCTCTTTTTACTCAGAGATGGGCAGTGGGCAGCTAATTTAAAAGGATGGGCTTTTAACTTGGATGAATTCTTGATTAAGCTTTGTCCCAGAATTCTCTTACCGAGAATCTCGCTGTCAGTTCTTGGAACACTCAGCCCCAGGGGCAGGCAAAGTGTCCTCCAGGTTTCCGTTTCCCACTCTGTTTAGGAGGCAGCCTCGTCTTCCCCCACCCAGCAGAGACCCAGGCCCGAACTGGGCTCTGGCCTGGCCTAGCGGAAGGGGCTGCGGGCAATGCTCCGTTCCGCGTCGTCTCGCGCGCGGGCGGGCGGGAGACGGCGTCCGGCAGGACTGCTGCATGGGGCTGAACCCAGAGGCCGGGCGGGGCTGGACTTGCAGCCAGGTGGCCACCTGGAGCGTCGCGCCCCGCCCAGCTCAGGCCCCGCCTGCGCCCCGCCCCCTGCACGATGGCCCCGCCCCTCTCTCCTGATACCCCCTTTCTTCGCTCTATTTGCATAAGGAGGCGGCTCCGGGCCCCGCCCGGCGCGCACGTGACCCCGGGGAGGCGGAGGGAACCTGCTGACTTGACACGAGCCGTTTTGCAGCTCCCCTTGGCGCGGAATAGCAAGAGCAGCCGTGACCTCCGACCCCGCCCGCCGGCAGCCAATAAGAGCGCAGGTCGTCTCCAAACCCAAAATTTCCACGTCGGCAAAAGTCAAGATGGAAGGGAGCGGAGCGGAGCGCTCAGTGGGCGCCTTCTTCAGCGGCCCGGGGCGCAGAGGGCTGGGCTGCGGCGTGCGGGGGACCCCCTTGGGAGGGCGGCCAGGCCAGATCGGCCGAGGCAACCCCCGGCCGCAGCTCCGGAGCTCTGGAGCCCCCGGCTCTGTCGGCCACGCGCAGCAGCCGGGCTGGATGGGGACTGCACTCTGCGGACCTGTTGCACGCGCGCAACAGCTGCTTGCGCGCGGTGCGTGGGGAGGTGTTCGGGACCCCGCAGGGTGGTCGGGGGTGGGCGGGCCGGGAGCGCCGGGCCTGTGTCGTGGACCGCACGCAGACCGGTGCGGAGGCGCTGCCCGAGCGCACAGAGGGAAGCCGGGAGAGTGGGTGGGTGGCGCCGAGGGGCAGCCACGCCGGGGCTGCGTGGACGCCGATTCCCGGGGCTGTGCGCGGGCAGCTGGATAACCGGACTAGCGTGGTGAGAACGGCTGGGGGAAGGGGAGGCCGTGGAGAGCCTGGCTTTCCCGGGACGTCCCATCTGCGGGAAACGGCTCCCTCCTGCCTGTGTTCGCCGGCTTTGACTCCGGGCTCCAGGAATTCGTCCTCATGCAGTTCCACCCTCCCCCCCCGCCCCCACCAGCTTTCCAGATGGGAAGGTAAAAAGTTACCACAACTTAGATGGAGTAGGTTCGCTTCATGCCAAAGTCGAGTAACAGGCCCGGAGAAGGTGGGGGCTGGAGCGGCCATGGATTCTTGTGTGGGGTGGGTAGGAAGGAGGGGGCATTGTGGGATTCCAGCTGTTTGCAGTGACATTGCCGCCGAAGTCTCTCTCAGAACACCGTTTCTACCGGGCTTTTACTCCTGCTGACTGTGGCAGTAATTTTCCATAATTAATGATCCTTCCCACTGTTGGTCTCATCCTGAGCGAAATTGCCTCTAATGAGTTCTTTACCTTCGCTGGGGGCGAGGGGTGGTGGCGGCGGGGAACACACCTGCAGGACGAAACTCCTAGAGGAAGACAGCCGGTTTGGTCTTTTGAGGCAAAGTTCTGAGACACTCCGACTCTGAGTATGATAGAAGTCAGTGCACTACAGAACTTTGTCTCTAGAGGCTGTGGTCGCCGCCTCTCCGCGAGGGCCCTGCACCGGGCCCTGGACGCCAAGCTGGTCGCCCTGTTGGCCACGTCGGTGCACCTTTCCTTTGGGGGAGGGGCAGGCCAGAGGGGGGCATAAGTGCCCGGTGAAGAACTCGACAAGCCCCTTTAAAGTCAATGGGTTAGATCACATAAACGGAGTAGCTGCCTTCCCCCCCCCCATTTTCTTCTTACCCTGGTGGACTTCTTGATTGCATTTTCTTCAAGGGTCTTTTTAAAGTACTAAAATGGTATGGCTTCACTTACTGAGCAAGGAGAAGAGGCCACAAGTTTATTGATGGGTGTGTTGGTGTGTTCAAACTGTACCCTAAAAGAAGGAAATGCATCTGTGCCAAAAGCCACAGATAATGCTCCTTTTACTCAAATGTTCTGTTAGATAAATGAGCCTGCAAGAACTGGGCTTGGGGATTTGGTTTCAGTTCTGAGTCTGATTTAGGCCCAGTTCACTTTTCTTTCTTTCTTTCTTCCAAGTGGGTTTTGTTAATGGAAAGGAAGTGTGTGTGTGTGTGTGTGTTGTTTTTTTTTTTTTTTTTCCTAAGAAAGCATTTTTGACAGTCATTTATGAGATGAGTGTTTATACTTGGGACCTGTGAGATACTGTACACGGGGAAATGGCACTCCTGGACCCTGATGGAATGTGGGTTGTGGTTAGCCCGTTGCAGTCAGAAGTCTCCTCTGTGCAGCTGGCAGTGACTGGCACTGAGCTGAATCTTGCTCCATGATCATTGCCCTATTCTGACTTTTATGAGTGTCTGGCTGGAGAGCTGATGGTGTCAAGGAATCAACCTCCATGAACAAAGGTGATCACCTGACACACGCGTGCCAGGCTGTGCCACCTGGGGATGAGCAAAAAGGAATGAAGCCTCCTGTGTCCCTTGCACACAGACAAGGAAATTCTGGAAGGACCTCCCAGTACAATTTGTAGAATGTTCCAGAAACCCTGGGATCGCCTTTTTTTGTGTCTCTGGGAGGTCCTGATCTGAAAAATGAAACCCCACCACCTTTATTTCTTAGTATATTCTGGTTAGTTTGGAGTCAAGATAATGGAGGGAGGGCCAATGGGAAGAGTTTTGGAGCCTGACAGAAGGACTTTGCAATTGGTTTTCACCTGTATCTGGGCCCATGGTCAGGCGCTTGTCTGAGACTGTTACCCATTCTCTTTCCTTCCAGTCAATGGCCACTGAGCTTCACGTCTTCAGCTTTCTACCCATGAGGTAGCTGAATTATAGTTTTGCAGTTAAATAAAGTGATGCAAACGCAGGTTCTTTTTGTTTTCATTTAAGACATAAGCTATGCTTCCCAGTAAGGAGAATTTTCTTTCCAACTTTTACGAGAATGCTGTTAGCCCTTTGGGGTAGGCAGGGTGGAGTGGTTGGCTGGGCGAGTGTTCATCTGTGCAAAGGATTAGGTCAGCACTTCACTTTCAGGAAAGAGCCTGGCTTGGAGTCCCTCACATGGGTCCATCTGGTTTGACCTCATTATAATCATGATTTGGTTAAAAGTCTTGCTTTGTCCCCTGCCTGTGGCCATGAGTGAGAGAAAGGACCAGCCAGACAGGAAGGCTTGTGGCTTATGCTGGTGCTGTGCTTGCCAGGAGTAGGGTCTGGGAAAACCAGTGGGCTGGATATGCTGTAAAGATAGCATCCTCTCATGGACGTTAGTCGTTGAGCAAGCGGAACCGTGTCACTCACCGAACATCAGGGGTCAGGTGCCAGGTTCCCGAGTTCCTTCTCCAGTTAGAGGTTGGCAGTGCCACCAGCATCCAGAAAGGTGGTAAGCATGTCAGGGAAGGGTGGACAGGCAGTGCTGGAAAGGCTGAGTATCATTTTAATCCAGCTTGCTGAACCAAACAGTACTGTCACCAGCTGCCCAATTTACATGGATCAGGCCCTCCTAAATTCCCAGTAAATGAACTGAATGAAAGGTGCAGCTGAATTAGATGTCACGGAATGCCAGTAGCCTTTCACTATTTAACAAGCATTTTTATTCTCAAATGAAAAGGTTGGGAAAACTTGAGTGTGGTTCTAGCAGGTACCTGAAGAGTGAGGAACTAGGGCACTATGCCACTGGAACACTGATTGTTGATAAACTAGGATTTTGGATACCCTTGAATTTCAAAAAAAAAAAAAAATGTTCTAAAAGCTCCCTGTATTCAGATACTCCTTAGGGACTTTTAAACTTATTTTAATTACGTGTCTGTGGCTATATGCCCATAATTATCAATGCCCTGCAAGACCAGAGGCATGGGTTCCCTCGAGCTGGAATTAACAAGCAGTTGTGAGCTCAACATGGGTGATGGGAACTGAACTCGGGTCCTACTTTAAGAACAGCATTCGCTTTTAGCCGCTGAACCATCTCTCTAGCCCCCCAGGGTGGGAGCTCTTTTCCTGGTTGGTCCAGGAGCCACCGGTGTGCTGCTGTTATGTCCCTGTGTGATGCTCAGAAAGCGCTTGCTTAGCTTTTCTCATTACATGACTTAGAGTGTTCTCAGTGGACAGGATGGACAGGGTCTTCCTCAGATTCATCACTATAGAAACAGGTTGAAGTCTTGTAAAAATGCAAAAGGGGAAATGGGAAGAAAGTTGGTCATACTGCTATTGGTGACAGGTAAGGACTAAAAACCATATGGTAGCCTTGGAGACGGATGGAGGAAGATGGTGGCCCTTCAGCAGACACCTGGTAATACTGGTGAGGATTCTCGTGATTGTGATTTACACGCTAACGAACTCGATTCTAGGGACATGAGCAGATGCTTCCCCTGAGGAAAAAGCCAGTGCCAAGATGGCTTCTTCACTCCGCTGCTTAGCTAGTCTCCTGCTGCTGGTTCATAGGAAAAGAAACCAGTGTAGTTATACAGCCCTTAATTTGAGCCCAGCACACTTGTACTGTACTTAATTGTGGTGGGTACCCTTAGAAGCATTCCGATGTTAAATTCACGCAGTTGTTCATTGCCATGTGACAGATGAGGAAGCTGAGGCATAAACAGATTAAATAATTTAACCCAGGCTCCCAGCTAGCCTGGCTGGAGTCAGGTGCAAACCATATGTTGGTTTTAATGTCAATTTGCCACAAATTGGAATCTGAGCAAGGATCCTCACCGGAGGAGTTGTCCTGGCTGCCTTAATATGGTAAATTAAAACTTCAGTTCTAGTTTGGTTCTCTGTTGCCATGATAAGACAGTGACCAAAAGCAATTTGAGAGATGAAAGACTTTGTTTGCCTTATAATTTACAGCCCTCCATCAAGGGAAGCCAAGACAGGAACTGAAACAGAAACCATGGAGCCTTGCTCTTCCTGGCTTGCTCATTCAGCCTTCCTTCTTTCCTTCCTTCCTTCCTTCCTTCCTTCCTTCCTTCCTTCCTTCTTTCCTCCTAGGGATGGCACCACTCACGCTGGTCCATCTATACCAATCAACAGGCAAGAAACCTCCCATAGACAGGCCCTCAGGCCAATCTGATGGAGGCAATACCTCAGATGAAGTTCGTTCTACTTGTGTGTGTCAAACT